AGAGAAAAGGGAGGCTTCTCACGTAAAATGATGGCTGTATTTCCACAGGCCTTATGTGGCTCTGATTAAGGCTGAGCCTGGGAGGTTCGAGTTGAGTTAGGAGTTTCCCACAAGGACTGCTTGTTGCAGGCAACCATATCCTTGAGCTGGCCCTGGCTTGAGGCTGGGACTCTGATTAGGGGGACGGCCAGCCCTGGTTTCACAGCCTCAACAAGAACCTGCCTCTTTAGCATCTGAGATTACAGGCTGGTTAACTGTCATTTAGCATAGTTTACATCATAACTACATATTTTATCTTGTACTAATTATACTTGTTATATTAGAATTAAGAAAAAAAAGTGCCACATTAAAATTTTTGAGAAATTATCCAAAACTTGGAAAGAACGACTGCTGTTCTCTCAGGGCCCTCCTAGAGCTTCATCTGACTGCTGTGCCAAGGACTCTGTGTGGAAATGAAACGTTTCTCGGCTTGGTGATGGTGCAGCCTCCACGAGGGACACGCTGTCCTGTCTACGTGGTCACACAGTTATGTGTGTGCTTCGCACACATCTCAGGGTAGCATTTCACTGCCACTGAACATCATAAACCCGGAGAATTTTAGCCCCTGTTAAACCTCTTTGAGGAAATCTGCCTTTTTATATTAGGCTCTGTTTCTAATTGAGGACTTGATGTCGACTTTAATTATTATTTGGACAAGTTACTGAGCTAGAAGAACCTGTTTCTTGTCCAACAGTAATTATGGGAATGAAATCATCCCTAACACATACTATTTATTTAAATCTCTTTATAGGGCTGCCACAGGGACACAAGACAGGGGCAAATGTCTTTTTATATCCAAAAAAAGAATTGAAATACAGCACATTTCTCTACCTTCCCACTTGCCCGCAAACGTCCCAGCTTGTGTATTTGAAGCATTCATTTGAGGAGAGCAGTGATTTATCTCAGGTGCAAGCAGGAGTCAGGAGTGAAATTTAATTTGAGTTCACTTATTTCCATCACACTGACTGACTTAGAGAATGAGTTATGTGTGAACTGGCCATTGGCTTAGGGGTTTGGGGTATAATCTGCACCCTGGACTATGACACTAAAATTTCTGACAGCAAAAATACATGACATGACTTTTGTGCAAAATCCAGCCAGTCACATGGACTGTCTGTCTGGTACTGCTGTGGAGAGCTTACCTGGACTATTGCTGATTTCAGAGAAGTTTTGGGGGTGTATCATACTTATGATCATAATTGAAAGTGATAGTTTTGGTCCCCCTATAGTTGAACTGACCAGATATTTTAGTATGATTTGGCCAAAATTACAGCATGGCCATAACCTATCTGGATGTAGTTTCTTATGATAAACTGAGAATGAGAGTAGTTCTGTATGTCCCGCTCAGAATTCCCATGTTGAAACCCAACCCTTAGTCTGATGGTGTTAGGTGGAGCTTGAGATCTAGGTGGGTGATTGGATCATGGAGTGATACCCTTCTGAATGGGACTGATGCTTAAACGAGAGCATTGTCCACCTGTCATGTGAGGGTATTGGAAGGTGCCTTCTGAGAACCTGACCACACACCATATATTCTGGCACCTTAGTCTTCAACTTCCCAGCCTAAGCAACAGTGAAAAGAAATTTTTGTTTTATACAATCACCTGGTCTATGGTACTTTGTTATAGTAACCCAAGCAGTCCAAGGGAGATCTCCCCTTACTCCCCTCTACTGAGACAGCATGGGAACAGTCAGCCCAAGTGGCATATGCCATAACTTCATTTAATGTGTCTGTCTCTCTGTCTACCCATCTATCTATCTATCTTTCTGTCTGTCTGTCTGTCTATAACCATACTTATAAGTACTATATGTAATTCTAGGTAAACATAAAATAATGTTTCCTTAAAGCTTTTCAAACATCCCTGGTGTTCTTTATTTCTCCTTCCTCCGTATCCTTCTGTATTGATCCCTCCCCCTCCCAGTTAAAACTCCCTTTCTACTTCTCACCATCCATGCCTCCATCACTAACATCCTGTTGTTCTACTCATTTGTGACACAGTTCTAGCTTTTAAAATATGGCCACATCCCAGTTCTGGCTACTGTTACTTTGGCTAGTATAGACTGTAGTAACCAAAAGACTCAGATATGTAATGACTCAGCTCTTGAGCACTTATTTCCAAGTGACAATTACTTAAGTGACCAGTGTTTCACATGTGGTCATCATGCTTGGGTGATGGGGGCATATGGGTGGGACATCATTGTCTCAGCTCAGAGAGAAGAGGATCACATGAGAGGTTTTGATGGACAGGTCAGGAGGTGGTAGACAGCAATGAAACTCACTCTCATTAGTCAGAATTAGTCACGTGTTCATAATAACAGCCAGGGAAGCCTGGAAGCATAGTCTACCTGTGCACCCAAGAAGTGAACTGTTATGAACAATGAGCTGTGTCTGCTGTGTGTACATTTCTGAGATATCACAGCCTAACATGTGGGGATTCTGGCTGCACAGGTTTGTGTAGAGGAGAAAGTGAGACTGAGTTAGAGAAACACTTGGAAATGATGTTGCACGGCTGAAGCAGCTGATGGTTGGTGCACTGTGATGTAGTTGAGAAGGGGAACTGTCTCCATATGACCACATAACTATTTCTCTGCTTTAGATTATTCCTTTATAGGAAAGAGTACCTCACCATTGTGGGGAAAATTTAAGAAGGCCGACACAGCCGCGCAAGCCCCGAAGGGGCTTCTGCCCCCGTGGCGGGTCCCACATTAGAGAAGAAGTCCTATGGTTCCAGTGGCCTGAGGGCCTTGGCAGCTGCAGGCCCCAGTAACACGAGGAAGTCCTTGTTTCCAAAAAGGTTTATTGTCATGGCGGATAATAGATGGATCTAGGCGTATCCCCCCAAAACTCAGGGCAGTCCCGAGTTATATAGGGAGGGAGAAAGGGGGAGGATCTGGGAGAGGATCTGGGGGAGGCATGTTTAATTTGCTCTGCCCTCTGGCCTTCATTAGTATGTAAATCCCTAGGGCCTGAGGGCTATAGCCTGGCCTATGTGACTCTATGGAGACCGTGACTGCTTTTCAGGATCCTGGATGATGGGGGGGACTGAACTCCTGCCGGTTCTCGTGCAGAATTCCACGCAGAATCTCGGGGTTCTATGCACCTGCTCAACCATGACCCAGGATACCCTTACGCAGTCCCACACACCATCATTAGAAATAACCCCCAGACATATGTTTACACTCACCTCCACACACTTTATACCTATAAGAGAATTTCCTGCTGTCGTGATAGAGTAAGGTTTATACTGACATTGAGAGAGAACGTGTCAGCCTTTTGCAAGACAGCTTTGACAGTTGTGTGATGACTAAGTCATTGACAGATACTCTGTCTACCATAAAATTATGAGCAACGAAAATGAATTGCATGCCCCACATCTATCCTGTGCCTCCTAACAGAGAGAGTCATGACAGACTCCAACTCCATAGGGAGCTAGTTTCAGTGAATCTGGGGATCAGTGTACCTCAGTGCTCTCCAGTTTCAAGATGGGTCCAGGAAATATGGAGATGGAGGGATGTCTTCTACTAGATTTTTTGGGGGGATTAAAAAAAAAAAAAGATGTGTTATTGGATTGCTACTGCTATGATGAAATACCATAGCCGAAGCAACTTGGGAGAGAGAGGGCTTATTTCACCCACCACTCTATAAAAGAGTTTATCACCAAAAGTAGTGAGAGCGGAAACTCAAGCAGGGCAGGAACCTAGATGTAGGAGCTGATGAAAGGCCATGGAGGGGTGCTGTTTACTGCCTTGTTCATCATGGCTTGCTCAGCCTGCTCTCTTATAGCACCCAGGACATCAGCCCAGGGATGGCACCACCCACAATGGGCTGGGCCTTCACCCATCAGTCATTACTTAGGAAATGCCCTACAGCCAGATCTTAAGAGTTCAGACAGGCAGATTTTCTCCTAATAAACCTCATCTTTTCCATCACTAATATGCAAACTCCTGAAGGGCCTTCAAAGACCTGGCTTGCCTCCTGAGCTGGCTAGTTTTATGTCAACTTGACACAAGTTAAAATGCTCTGAGAGCCTCTTTTGATAAAGTCTCCTTTTTTGAGGAATAAAAAGAGACTTGGTGGCATGCAAAGTCATATGTAAAGGGTGGATCTTATTTCTTCTTTTAATTATGAAATAAAACTTTCACTTAGTCCTCTGAATCGTCTTGAGTATAATAACACATAAGTCTATGACTAACTTCCAAGATCAAAATGGTGTGTGCCTGCATGCATGCGTGTGTATGTGTGTGTGGGTGTATCTGTGTGTGTTTGTGTGTGCGTATGCACCCATGGACACATGCATGTGCAAGTGAATATCTGTTTGTATGTGCATATGCATGTGCATTTGTGCACGTGTGTACACATGTGTGTCTCTCAGTGTGTATGTGTGTATGTATGTGTGTATGGGACATGTGTGTGCATATGTGATTCTAAAAAATCTGGGATTCTTCACTATCTTTTCTTTGTCATTCCCTGGTGCAAGAAAGTAGTACCTATCTTTAATTGATTCTTTCTCTCCTCCAACCCTTTGCTCTCTTCTTACCATTCCAAGGTCTTCCTAGCTTCAAACTTGTTATAGCTTGTCATCCTCCTACCTCAGTTACCCGTGTGTGTGCGTGTGTGTGTGTGTGTGTGTGTGAGAGAGAGAGAGAGAGAGAGAGGGAGAGAGAGAGAGAGAGAGGGAGGGAGAGAGGAAGGGAGAGAGAGAGAGAGAGAAAGAGAGAGAGAGAGAGAGAGAGATATTTGTACAGAGTTTTAAAACCTGGGCTTCCTGGTGTAGCTGTATAGACTTGAACTGATGATAAACCTTTTCCTGGAAATGATGGTCCTCTGGCTTTTATAAGACTCTAGAATGGGGTCCATAATCCTACATGGTTAGATCCATGATTTAACACTGAGGATGGACAGAAACAAGTTCACCTTTGGCAACCCCACTGCTTGTCTCCACTTAAAAATGGATGTCATCCCTGTCCCTGGAAGCATTACAGGTCTGGCTGTGGTGTCACATGTGTATCAGTAGTTGGCAGAGAGGAGAGAAGCTGTGTCTGTGCTTATTGTTCTGATCTATGAACGTCTGAATGATTAATAACCTAATATTTCCAGAAAAAAGAGTCTGAGATGACCACTAGTCCAGCACTGCACAGGCCCTGATGGACTCCCAAGAAGGGGAACAAGCTGGAGACTAAAAGAACCCTACCTGGGACTATGTTGGGGGTGGGGCAAGCCTGGACAGAGGACTCTCTGAGATCACTCAGAAGAGCTGGGCAAAGAGAGTGTAAGATGACCACCAGACTGGAACCATGGGGCTTGAGATGACCACCAGTCCAGTGCTGCACAGACCATGCCTGAGATGACCCCTGCCTGGTGCCATAATGCATGAGCAAGGCATAGCACTCCTGAGACCACTCCTGAGATAACGCTAGGCATCAGAGACCCCAGCTGTCTCTACGAGGAACAAGTAAGTGGTGGAGAAATGGAAGGGAAGTAGAAACAGAAGGATGTGGGCACAATGAAGAGAGGCAGAACTGGAGACTCAAGCTTAGTGGGGAATAGCCTGAGCTGATGTTGCCACGTGGGACCATGGTGGGGTCCTGGCCTGTGCTGCCACTGCGGGGGGGCACATCTGTGTTAATGACCTTGCAGCAACATGGTTCTGTTACCACCAAAGGCCAGGTGGATGTCCCTGGTCTGGGCTGCCACCCAGGGACATATGCCTGAGCTAGATAAAACTAGCTCTACCTTTTACCTGGGCATCATGGGAGAGCTATCCCTGGGGGTTTGAAAGCAGGAGAGCTGACACCACTCCTAGACAGGTGTATCACTCGGGAGAGCAGGCCCTGTAAGGGTAAAGGAGAAATTCCCTCACTATCCTTTCCCCCTGCTATCTACAGCAGGCAGGAGAGCTAGCCCTGGGGTTATGAGTGCAGGAGAGTGGGCCCCAAACCTCAGTTGGGCAGCACAGTGGAGCTGGCCCTGGATATGGGGTTTCAGGTGAGCCAACCCCAAGGGTATGAATGTGAGAGAGCTGGTCCTACCTTGTGTCTGCTGGGGGGGTACAGATGAGGAAGAGACAGCATGTTCCTCTCTCTCTCATCCATCTATGGAAAGCAAGAGAGCTGGCCCCAGGATCATGACAGTGAGGGGACAGGCCGTGTCTTTCATCGGGTGCAACGCTCAGGAGAACAGGACCAGCACCTTGCCTGGGCATCAGGGTAGAGCTAGCCCTGGTTGTTGGGAGTTCCTGGTGAGCCAGCTTTGAAGGCATGGAAGCAGGAGAGCCACCAGGCTGACCAGCTTGGGTACCTCTCATCCCAGATCCAGGGCTTTGAATTGGTCCCACCCCAACATCTACCTCATCGATGAACTGCTGAAGTGCATGAAGGGGCCAGTCCTACAGATCCAAAACAATAGGATCTCCACAACACAGGGCAACTACAGGATATCTGAGAGGAGTCCCAGTGAGGATCCAGTATTGATAGTGTAGCAGAAGCCAGAGGCCTTGTACCAGACAAATAAGTCATTGCAATGGACATATGCAAGCACAGAAGTGTGAGCAAAATGGCATACTGTGGGACACACTGTGACACACTACAGCTTTCACAACGAGATATTTTTCCCCTCTGTTGGGGGAGAGGTTGCCCGGGTGGAGGGTGTGTTTGAGGGGAGAGAGAGTGGTATTGGGTTCCATGACATGAAATCCACAGAGAACCAATAAAAAGTTATATATACATATACATCATATACACAAATACACACATGCACACATATATATACATATATGTAGACTATCCTGTTTCTTCTTCAATGTCCTCCCTAATGGTTCATGATATGCCTTCCAAGTGACTGATCTGATATGCTTCGAAGCCCATATCTCACTCTACCTTTCTTTCTTTCCTTCCTCTTTCTCTTGTCTCAAATATGCCCACTGTCAATCTCCATGGCCCCTGACTGTGGCCAGAGGTCTACACAATTGTGAGAACTAAACCAAGCACTTTCACTTCTTAACCTGCATTCTGTCTCTTTGTCACTTCATTTTCTCCAAGAATAAAATACTGACACATCAGGTTATTCTAGAATTCATGAGATTCCAAGCTTCTACGTACCCTGCAATGACATCCCAGCAGCATTTTTACAAGTGTCCCAATCTATCATGAGCAATCAGTATTAGTAATTAAGACACTCTGCTAAATGTACCACTTTGCTTCCCTGTGTTTCCTGAGTTTTTGTCTGAGCCTTGCCATACTGCTGAAGGCATGCAGGAGAAGTCCTTCCCATGTTTTCAGAGATAATACTATAGACCAGAACCTGAAGAGTTAAGTTCCTGGTACACAGTCCAAAGTAAGTCAGAGGCACAGCCAAGAATAGAACAGAGGCTTAAATATCCCTCCCTGCTTCCTGCTACACTATACCTGTGTGTACATTTTTTGATGGAGAGTCAGATGTTATTTTAAGGCTCTCCAAGGCCCTTAACTGGCATTTAGTTTTAATTGTGCCTCTGGCAAACTAGATCTACTCTGGTTGCCAAAAGGAGATCTGACCACTTAAGGTACCATGGAGGACAGTTCTGGAATTGGGTTTTTAATTAGATTGACTTAAAGATCAATCAGACATAACTATATGTGAGTTTTTAAATTTCTATTTTATAGGCAAATGGAGTTAGCTTTTACCCCTGCGTACTATGCTTACTAATCATCTTCTCTTCTCAACTTTCTTCTCTCCTCTCCTCTCCTCTCCTCTCCTCTCCTCTCCTCTCCTCTCCTCTCCTCTCTCCTCTCTCCTCTCCTCTCCTCTCCTCTCCTCTCCTCTCCTTTTCTCTTCTCTTCTCTTCTTTTCCTTTCTTCTCCTTTTGATCATCTACTTAGCCCAGAGATCAATGCTTTATGGAACAGAAACTTGGATTATTGCACTGATTTTATTATGCAAAAACTCCAGCACCAAAAGCAAGGGCACCTTTGAATCTTCTCCTGTTTCCTACTCCATGCTTGGCAAAGCCAAACCTCTGACACAGGGCTGAGCTAATGAGCTTAATGAAATTTAAGAGCTATGGACTCAGAAGAGGAAGAAAACTAAACCCTAACATTAAAGTGCCCATAGTATGTGGAGTCCCTGGATTGATGAAAGATTATCTCAGTTTCTTTTTCTGTTAGTATAAGATAACCTGACTAAAGCAATTTAAGGGGAAGGGATATATTTTAGCTCACAGTTCTGGGTTATAGAGCATCATAGCAGGGAAGTCGCCACCAACCAGTAGTAGAAACTTGAGAGAGCTGCTCATATCACATCCATAATCAGGACCGGAGGGCAATGAATGCATATATGTGTACTTTTAGCTCACTTTCTCCATTTTATACAGTTCAGGATCCCAGTAGGGAATGATACCACCCATAGTGGGCAGGTCTTCCGATTCAGTCAACATAATCAAGATAACCACCCACAGATTCTCAGAGGCTCATCTCTCAGGTGATTTTAGATTTTTGTCAAGTTACAACACAATCACACAGACAAAGAAAGCCCTATACTCACCATGATTGTGGCAAACTATCGTCTGCACTATCACTGTCTGCTGGTGCTATGTTGCCTGTGATATAAAATCAAGTAGCCGGAGCTCACAAGGTGAGTAATTGGGCAGGTAGTTAAGAATTCTTTGGAAATCAGTCTGGCGGTTCCTCAGAAAATTGGACATAGCATTACCCGAGGATCCAGCTATACCACTCCTAGGCATATACCCAGAAGATGCTCGAACATATAATAAGGACATATGCTCAACTATGTTCATAGCAGCCTTATTTATAATAGCCAGGAGCTGGAAAGAACCCAGATGTCCTTCAACTGAGGAATGGATTCAAAAAATGTGGTATGTTTACACAATGGAGTATTACTCAGCTATTAAAAACAATGAATTCGAGAGGTTCCTAGGTAAATGGATGGAACTAGAAATTATCATCCTGAGTGAGGTAAGCCAATCACAAAAGAAGACACATGGTATTCACTCACTGATTATTGGATATTAGCCTAGAACCTTGAAATGCCCAAGATGCAACTCACAGGCCACATGAAGCCCATAAAGAAGGAAGACCAAGTGAGGGTGATTCGGTCCTTCTTAGAAGGAGCAACAAAATACTCAAGGGAGCAAATATGGAGACAAAGTGAGGGACAGAAACTGAAGGAGGGGCCGTCTCAAGACCACTCCACCTGAGTATCTATCCCATGTGCAATCACCAAAGGTAGATGCTGATGTGGAAGACAGGAAGTGCATGCTGATAAGAGCCTGATATGGATATCTCCTCAGAGGCCTTCAAGAGTCAGACATATTCAGAGGCAGATGCTCACAACTAGCCATTGAACTGATCATGGGGTTCTCAATAGAGGAGTTAGAGTGAAGACTGAAGGAGCTGAAAGGATTTACGGCACCATGAGGAGAGCAACAATACCAACCAACCACAGCTCCCAGGGTCTAAACCACCAGCCTGGGAGCACTTAGGGGGGGATCCAGGGCTTCAGCTGAATATGTAAAAGTGGAGGGCCCTGCTGGGCATAGGTGGAAGAAGAGAACCTTGACCTCATGAAGGCTGGATGCCCCAGGGGGTGGGAATTTTGAGGGTGGGGAGGTGGGAGTGGGGGGGGTAGATAGAGGTTACATCCACAGAGAAGAAGGAGGAGGGGCGAGGGGATTGGGGGTTCCGAGGGGGTGGTGGGGGATGGGGTAAGGGGACAACATAGGAAATGTAAATAAATCATCCAAAAAAAAAAAGGATTGAAAAAAAAAAGAATTCTATGCATAGTTAATACCAAATATCCTCTGGCCTGTGATAGTTAATCTTCATTATCAACTTGACTAAATTTAGTAGGAAAGTGTTTCCTCTAGGAAGCATCTCTCTCTCTCTCTCTCTCTCTCTCTCTCTTTCTGTGTGTGTGTGTGTGTGTGTGTGAGAGAGAGAGAGAGAGAGAGAGAGAGAGAGAGAGAGAGAGAGAGAGTGGATGTTTTCAGAATATGAGGAGTGTCATCCCATAAGGTGAACTAAATAAAAAGGAGGAGCTGAAGTAAGCTCAGCGTCCATCCTGCTTTGCTCTTTGACAGTGCCACCCTGGAGCAGGTGA